GGGTTTGAACCATCAGCCTTCTGGTTAGCAGTCAAGTGCTTTAGGCACTATGCTACCAGAGCTCCCATGTATATGTCTAGGTATGCTCAAATCACTTTCCTCAAAGAACAAGGAGCATGCCTAGCATATAGAAGACGTGCTGTCTAAGATTGGAGTGCTGTATGTTTACTAAATCTGTTGGAACCCATGCTAAATTCCTGATTTAAAAACAACAACAAACACACAGACACACACACAAAAAATGTGTTTAGTTTCATGCCTAACAATATTTGCAAAATTCTTTTACATGGCCTAGGAAGAAAGGCTCAACAAATTTAACATGAACATGGTTTAATAAGGGAAAGGAACTGTAAATAAAAGTTCTTAATTTCCAATAGTAGTTAGTTGAAAAATGTGTTTATGCCAGTAATGCATCAGTGGAAATTTAGAATAAAGCATAATAAGAAGTGTCTTGATTGCATGAAGGGCAAAAAAGGTCTTATATATTGCATCGTGTGCCCAGCATGTAACACACACAGTGGATACATAATAGTGCATCTTGAATAATGTTATGTTAAAATTTTTCTACAAGAACTAGTAGAATCTCCCAAACTCAAACTCACTGCCATTGAGTCGGACCTGACTCATAGCAACCCCTCCTTGGGATTCCGAGGCAGTATCACTACGGAAGTAGATTGCCCAACCTTCCTTCCGAGGAGGGGCTGGTGGAGATGCTTTAGATGCTTTAGCCCCTGTGCCACCAGAGCTTCTAGAAGTTACAAAACCAAGACAACTAACTGCCTAGATTTGAGTTAGAAAGAAAATAATATATTATTGTTTATGTAGTTTTTTTGGCTCTAATAAATGTATTTTTAATGGTTAATTTTTTAGGCTTAGATATAAATTTACAGCATTTTTTTTTTTTCCTTTTTAGGTAGAAAAAATTAGCTGGGCATCATGGACAAGTGTGCTTGGTTTATGCTGTGAGGGAGTTTGGCCAATAATTGGAGAAATCACAGATGTAACTGCCTGTTGTCTTACCAATGACAAAATGATCCTGGCTACGGGGGATGATTTGGGATTTGTGAAGCTATTCAGATTTCCTGCTAAAGTATGTGCTTTTCTTAACTTTTCAAATAGGATCATTATAAAAATGGTTAAGGTAATGCCATTTCACAGCACTTCATTGTTGTAATAGGAAATGCTCAGGATTATGTTTCCTGTTCTTGGCATCCTATTAATAGCTTTTATCTAGAAAAAATATTATTTATGATCCCATGCCTGGTGTTATATTGTACAGTGTTCCTCAATCTTAAGTAATTAAGAAATTCTTTTGAAGGAAACTTTCCTCTTAACTCTCTATATTGCCTTAAGTAATCTTAGTATTCTTTTCATGAAACATATGCCATTAATGGTAGATATAAACTATACTTACACCTTAAATGTTTAAAATGTTTTACTCAATTAAATTTTTAAAAAACCTGCAACACCTTTAAAATTAAAATAAATAACATTGATTTAATGTGATGAAAGCTATTATTTTGCTTAAACCAAAGTGTACAGGTACTTTATAGTGCTACATGCATATGCTCCTGTGTGATGACTCAATTCTCAACACTTTTCTCTATTCATATAACTATAGAACATTTGTAGAGAGGAAGTCATTTTGCTTAACACAAAAATAAAATTTATGTATAAATTCCAGATGTGTTTATTTCTTATTAGTGTCATAAATTAAGTTCTGTTTTATAATCTGACACCAACACAGTCATAAACATAAGTCTGAAATGGTTGTTGTTGTTGTTGTTATTTGCCATCGAGTCGGCCCCGACTCATAGCGACCCCTCCTTGGGTTTCCGAGGCAGTATCACTACGGAAGTAGGCATGCCCAACCTTCCTTCCGAGGAGTGGCTGGTGGGTTTGAACCGCCAGCCTTCTGGTTAGCAGTCAAGTGCCTTAGGCACTATGCTACCAGAGCTCCTAAGTCTGAAATAGGACATTGAAATAGTATTATGATATTCAGTACATGATGGTCTTAAATAGCTGCTCGTATATGTTTAGATCAGCATTGAAATGAAAGCATAGGTTCAAAAATTCTCGTAGAAAACTGAGGTACCCAAGAAAATATCCTACAGATCTCTGTTTCCAATACACTTACTTAATAGAACCTTAGTGGATAAGAATGTGTTCCAAAAGTTTTTTGGTCAGAAACTCACTTCCAGCATTCCTGATGGTAAAAAAAGTACCTCAGTATTACCAGGAACACAAAAGACCTGTACAAAGAAAACTACCAAAACACTATTTCAAGAACCTGTAAGAGATCTACATAAATGGAAGAACATACCATGCTCACGGATAGGAAAATTGAACACTGTGAAAATGTCAGTACTACCCAAAGCAATCTGTACATTCAATGCAATCCCTATCCAGATTCCATCAACATTATTTAAACACATGGAAAACCACTAACTAATTTTACATGGAAAGGAAAGAGACCTCAGATAAGGAAAGCACTACTGGAGAAGAACAAAGTAGGAGGTCTCACACTCCCAGATCTCAAAATTTACTATACAGACACAGTTGTCAAAACAGCCTGGTATTGGTACAACAACAGACACATAGACCAGTGGAACAGAACTGAGAACCCAGAAATAGATTCATAGACCTATGGTCAGCTGATCTGTGACAAAGGGCCAAAATCCATTAAATGGGGAAAGATAGTCTCTTTAATAAATGGTGCTGGCAAAACTGGATATCCAATTGCAGAAAAATGAAACAAGATCCATTCCTCACACAATACACAAAAACTAACTCTCACTTAAATGTGAAACTTAAAACTATAAAGTTCATCAAAGAAAAAATCAGGGCAAACTTCAAGCATAACCCAAAATGCACAAACAGCAGAAGATAAACTAGATGATTGAGACCCTCTAAAAATTAAATTCTTGTGTGCATCAAAAAATTTCTCTGAAAGAGTAAAAAGAGAATCTACAGATTGGGAAAAAATATTCAGCAATGACACTGAGAAAGGACTTATCACTAAAATATATAGAAAACTCCAACACCACAACATTAAAAAGACAAACAATACATGAACAGACACTTCACCAAAGAAGATATTCAGGCAGCCAACAAATGCATGAAGAGATATTTGTGATCATTAGCTGTTAGAGCGATGCAAATCAAAACAACAAGATACCATCACCCCAGCACTAATAGCAAACAAGACAAAATAACAAATGCTGGCAAGGATGTGGAGAGATTGAGACTCTCATACACTGCTGGTGAGACTGGGAAATGGTACAACCACTGTGGAAATCAGTATGGCGATTCCTGAAAAAGTTGGAAATAGAACTACCATTCGATCCAGCAATCTCATTACTAGGTATATATCCTAAAGAAATGAGAGACAAGACACAATAGATGAATGCACACCCATGTTCATCGCAGCACTGTTTACAATAGCAAAGAAATGGAAACAACCTACATGCCCATCAGCAGAAGAATGGATAGTCAAACTCCAGTACACATACAATGCAACACTAAAGAATAATGTAGAATCTGCAAAACACCACGTAATGTGGATGAACTTGGAGGACATTAGGCTGAGTGAAATAAGTCAGTGAGAGAAGGACAAATAAAGCATTAGTTCACTATTGTAAAAAGTAAAGGAATGGTTTATGTATGGAAGGAAAATTTCTTTGTTTATTACCAGGGACGGGAGGGAGAGGAGGGAAAATACCTAAGGTAAGTTAAATATATGGTTACCAGTGATGAGGGGGAGGGCAAGCTTTTGTTTTCAGGGCATTGAGTTTATGCTAATGGCGGTGGGATATTTTGGAAAAGGATATAGCAATAATGGTGACACAACACTGAAAATGTCATAAGTGTCCCTGAGCTGTAAAATGTGAAGGTTGTTACGTTGGTGAATGTCCTGTGTATGTTTTCACCACAACAGAAATAAAGTAATAAAATAATTTCAAGATAATGAAAGCAAAGCATTAAAGCAAACAGGGGCCCTTCTAAGTGTAGGGCCACGTGTGGCAGCTCCAGCCACATGCCCATGGAGCTAACTGCCCCCCCCCCCCAAAAAAAGTGCCCCGGTAATGCATTCTGAGATAGTCAACTACAGATTCCTCCTTTCCCTCACTGTAGCAAGAACCTCAGAATCTCAGGGAAACAGCCTCCTTGTGGTGCTTTGGTGACAAATTCCCCTAACTTTAGGATCCTCGTTCCCAGAAAATTCACTGATCCCCCTGTCACTGTATTTTCTTTATTTAAGACAGCTCTTGCTTTAACACCCTGAAAAAGATAGCCACTTAAACCCTGCTTATGATAATCGGTCTGAAATTTACCTATATAACTTGGTAATGCTAATTTTCTAGATTTAAAAGTTGCTAATTTCTGTAACTTGAGGTTTTCTTCATATATACTCCCATGTGCAATGCTCGTAATGAATTAAGGTGAAAGATATTTTCATGAGTACATACCAAAATGATCATTTTTCCATGAATATAGCTATGCTGTATATTGGTATTTATATCCTTATTGTCTCATTGTGTCTATTTCCCATAATAATGTTTGCATAATCATTGTTTTTGATAGATATATATTCTTCCATAGATACACACTGTAATTAACTATTACACTATTGAATATTTATTGTGTTTTTAAATTTTCATTGCTGTAAATAGATGCTATGATAAATATTTTTTGCACACATAACATTTTCTTAGCATAGGTCCCTAGAATCAAAGGTAAGAACATTTTTATGCTTCTAATGGAGAGCATCAACTTGGTTTCCAAAAGAGTTGTGCTTATGGTACTAGAAATGTGTGAAACTAGTAATTTTATCCTGACCTTACCAGATTTTGGAATTATTTTTTTATTCCAATAAGTTTCAGTATTTATGAGAAAATACATGAGAATGTGTTTACAAGCTTTATTTCTAAACATATATTAAGGATGAAATAAAAGAAATTAAAAATAACTGAAAAATTTTAAATAACAAAATTTCTCAGAAAGATTGTTTGAATTTTTTTCATCTTTAGGGTAAATTTAGAAACTTTAAGAGGTATGTGGCCCATAGTACACATGTCACAAATGTTCGCTGGACTTATGATGACAGCATGTTGGTTACCCTAGGAGGGACAGATATGTCCTTAATGGTTTGGACAAATGAAATGGAGGGCTTTCGAGAAAAGAGGTCCTGTGATAGTGAAGAGTCTGATGTAGATTCTGAAGAAGATGGGGGTATGTCATTTTTAAATATTTTATTTTAACAAATATATAGAAAAAACTTAGCAGAGCGAATTTAAACTGTGGAAGTTAAAACAGGTATTGATAATGTTTGAATAATTGTGCTTTTAGTGTTTTTGTCTATTTAATACCAAAATTGATTTTGCAATTCAAGATTAAAAGGCTGATATATATTAATGATTTAGAGATTCTGCAAATTGAAGACAATCATATTTTAAGTAAAAAACTAACTCACTGTCATCGAGTTGATTCAACTCATAGCGACCCCTCTTTAGGTTTCCAAGCTGGTATCTCTACGGAAGTAGATTGCCCAATCTTCCTTCCAAGGAGTGGCTGGTGAGTTTCAACCACCAGCCTTCTGGGTAGCAGTGAAATGCTTTAGGCATTATGCCACCAGAGCTCCCTTTTTAAATAAGTACTGTCAAAATACATTCTATAATAATGAAAAAAAATTTATTTTTTTAAAGTAATTTTGATTTTTTTCTAAGCATGTCAGTTAATATCACTCGTTTTTTAGAAAATACACTTTCTGTAATAAACACAGTATCTTCAGCAACTCAGAGGTTAACATTTTGGGGTATGTCCTTAGGGGTATGTGCAATTATTTACATAATAATTTTAAACAAAATTATGATCATATTGAACTATTATTTTACTGCTATTATTACTTTATAATGCTTTGAAAACATCATTATATCATTAAATATTCTTTTATTTCATTTTTACTGGCTGCATCTTTTTTTTCATAATTTGACTTAAAATGAAACTTACTTTATATTCTTGATCATCCTTTTATCCAGTTGATGAAATCATAATGGATCCTCCCCATTTATCACTTAGAGAATAATTTTTATATTTTCATGGTAGGCTACGACAGTGATGTTACAAGGGAGAATGAAATCAGTTACACCATCAGAGCCTTGTCAACAAATATTCGCCCAATGGTTGGAATCAAGCCTCATTTACAACAAAAAGAACCCTCAGTAGATGAGAGGTAACAAGTTTAATATCAGATGAAGAAAAAGATATTGGTATTAAAACTTGAATATATTATTTAATTAATTTCTTGCAAAATTTGAGTAACAACGGTACTCCTTTGCTTCAGACCACCCAGCACCACCCTGAAGACATGCTTGTCTTTAATACTTTTTGTGATGATACAGTCTTTTCAGGGAATTTAGGGGATAATACTGTATATAAAATCTGTAAGATTAAAGTAATCTTATTTGCTAACTTTTGTATTCTATGTGTTATGGGGATGGAGGAGGTAATAAAAAATGGACTTTATTGCCAAGTGCTTTTTTAGGAAGCACATGAGCAGAGGAATGGTTAAATTTTGAAAAGACATTTGTATCCATGAACAATCAAGGATAGCCTTTATTCCAATTTTTTTTCAAAAGAGCAGGTTGAAGTGTGATTTGTCTCTAATGAGAATTATTGGTCTTTGTTTAGAATCAACAAATAAAAAATAAGGATATGTGTGCAGTAATTTTATGAGAAGAGATATTTTAAAAATCATTAAACAAAAAAACCAAACTCACTACTGTCGAGTTGGATCTGACTCATAGCAACCCCTCCTTGGGTTTCTGAGGCAGTACCACTACAAAAGTAGATTGCCCAGCCTTCCTTCCAAGGAGTGGCTAGTGGGTTTGAACCGCCAGCCTTCTGGTTAGCAGTCAAATGCTATAGGCACTACACCACCAGAGCTCCTCATTATAATATAGTCTTTCAAATTCTATGCTACCAGTAGTTATGACTGCTAACCAGAAGGCTGGCAGCTCAAACCCACCAGCCACTCACTCCTCGGAAGGAAGGTGAGGCAATCTACTTCCATAGTGATAGCACCTCGGAAACCCAAGGATGGGTCGCTCTGAGTCGGGTCTGACTTGTTGGCACATAACAACAACAACAACAGGCAATTACTAGGTAGTCATTCATGGTAAAATGTAAATTTAAATTTATTCCTTCATTGCCAAAGTGACCCAAGTTCTTACAGATTGAAATATTTCACTACTCACAAGAATGATTGGCAGTTTCACAACTGTAATCTTTGGTATTACCTTTCATTTTTCACAGCTCACTTTTTCAAAATTATTTTTGGAATTGTTTTGCCTCTTCATTTATTTTACACCTTCCACTCTGCTTCTGCCGATGCGGAAGAAGGAAGTAATGGGACTCGTAGTTGGCTGTCTTCGTTATTGTTGCTACACTTCCATTGTCAGATGCTAAGATTAAGATGTGGAGGCTTTCAGTTTAGAATGTTTTATTTTTACAAAATGAAAGACTCAAAGGAGAAAAGAATTAAGTGGTATTTCTCTTTTTTTTTTTTACCAATTTTGAATGTATTTTTGAGGAGACCATATGGCCTGTGTAAATAATTGTCTTCATGTTTTAAATACACTACTACCATCAAAGGTGAAATAAAACAACTTTATGATCAATTAATACATATACTTATGAAATTTTATTTTACCCACTTAAAAGGAAAATGTTTCTGATGATAATTGATAACTTCGCTGTATTTGATTGATATTTTTGTGGGGTTTTTTTCCCTAAATGACTTAATAATTTTATGTTTTTCTTTCTCTACAAATGTTTCAATGGCAAATCTTATGTATTTAAAAAAGTAGTTGTCACTGAAATTTTCCTCCAGAAGCATTATTTTAAAAATATACAAAACAATTTGGCATAAAATTTAGGTACTTTTGTTTTACCTTCAAATTTTGATGGCATGTTACTTTTATTTTGTTTAATAAACTGCTACATTTTTATTCATCATCAATTTTCTTACATGATTGCCCTTTTTAATTTTCTTTTCCGCCTTGCTCCTTTTGAAGGCAGGGAATAGTAAGGTAAGTGTTTTATTAAAGAAAATATTTTATTCAAAAATTTAGTCTGTTCTGTTTTGGTGCTTATATTAGTTTAACTATTGAAGTTTTCTTCCTGTAAAACATTGAACTACTACATTTGTCCAGAAAGAATTAGGAAACGAAAAAAGACAAAGTCTACAAAAGAGTTGCAGTATATGGATGGATGTTACCTGTGAGAGTCTTCATTCTAATAATTTGTTTTTACAAATGACTTTTCACCAACTCCTGCACCCTAGATCATTTTAAGCCCACTGCACACTAGCCCTTTGTCATGTATATGAAGAACATCTGTGCCTCTTTTTGGAAGCCATGCTCAGCCACCCAGAGAGTTGTCAATGATGTGGCTGCCGTCAGTAATCAAATACCCATCATCAAAGGCAGCCAGCTTACCCTGACTGTTTGGTTACCTTACAGTCAGCACAGGAGACACTGGGCTTGTTTTCTCACTACCTGTCACATAGTTCTCTCACCATGTGTACTGTCTTGTCTAGCTCTTCAGTGTCACGCAGAGGTGGCTCTTTTACTCCTGTTGTGGTGTATAAACACAATAAAGGCCATCTGTTGTGAGGTCTCTCATGGAATGATTAGATAGAAGTAGAAAAGATATGTAATCAGATTTGCAAATAAAACAAAGTTTAGAAAAGGTAATAATCTGGATTAGAGAAAATACAGAATCATCTGAATAGATGAGAACGTTAGAATGAAAGAAGCAGTATTGAATTTAAGGGGAATAATAGCCAGTCTGCATTTTCTACACAGGCATGTGAAAATCTTCAGGTTTTAGGTGTTCAAATGCTTAATGTGAGTTCAGAGTATGATATACCTTCTAATTGGGCCCACATAATCTTATGCTAGGAGCTCTGGTAGCATAGTGCCTAAGGCACTTGACTGCTAACCAGAAGGCTGGCGGTTCAAACCCACCAGCCACTCCTCAGAAGGAAGGTTGGGCCTTCCTACTTCCGTAGTGATACTGCCTCGGAAACCCAAGAAGGGGTCGCTATGAGTCGAGTCGGGGCCGACTCAATGGCAAAATAACAACAACAACAACAATCTTATGCTATTTTAATAGAAATGAAGCATCCAGATCTAGCCTAATATCTAAAGTAGTTTATTCAAAACTGACCTCTGCATTTTGAAGGAGATATGAAAAGTTTATAGTGGTCTAGAAGAAAGCACAGGATGAAAAAGATTGGGAAGCCACTTCATATAAAGATTAACTGCTCTGAGAATTATTTGTTTAAAAACAAGAAAACTAAGTGGAGACATAATTGATGTCTTGGGTGTGAATGACTCATATATCTCCCTGTCAGAGTCCCTGGGTCAAAGCACTCGTGCTCTAACCAAAAGGTTGGAGGTTCAAGTCAACCCAGAGGGCACATCCAAAGAAAGTCCTGGTGACCTACTTCTAAAACATCAGCCGTTGAAAACCCAGTGGAGCACAGTTCTACTCATGGGGTTACCATGTGTCAAATAGGCTTGACAGTGACTGGAAGCTCCCTGTCACAGGCAGGTGTCAGTGCAGAGTTTGGATCACCTCTTGTCATAGGTGCTATCAAAGTTTGTTCTAGATGTGTATAGTAGATTCCTGGATTTAGTTGGAGGATTAATTAGATGACTTCTGTGATCCCTTCTGATTCTTTCAGTCATGCTATTAAGAGGAAGTTTTAAAAGGTTGCTTAATTTACTCCCAAGATCCAAAATGCAGCATCATGCTGAAGTCACCCATTCTGCCTCTTATTGGGTCAAAGCAGGGGAAGCTTAGGCTCCTTAGACAATGTCCTTAATAGCCACTGCCGTGCTACCAACCTTTTAAGTTACTTGTGAACTTTATACTGCCTTTTGCAAGAACAAAAATAAGCTTAAATAGTTTGTTTGAAGTTCAGCTTACACTGCAGAAGAACGAGAGTGGCAGGCTTTAGCATTCACAACAAAGAACATATTGATGAATTCCATCTATTTTTTTCATTTTCTTCTAATGTCCTGCCATTAATGGAGTAATTTTAACACTTCTCTTATATGCAGTAATAAAATAAAAATTGGCCTTTAATATAGTGTAGTTTACCTGCACTAAACTAAGGAAGATATTTTATTATAGGAAGTATTTTACTAGTGTTTTACATTCAAATTTGTGTTGTAATCTTTTCCCTTCTTTACTTGCTGCTGAAAAGGGGTTCCAGGTAATCCTTTCTTTGCTATGCTTACAAGCCCTAGTTTTGTATTTTTGTCATCTTTTATGTTCACCATTAATGAGCTGTGTTATTTGGTGTTCTTTGCCTGTATTCGCAGTTTTCATGATTTTTTCCTCTTTGAATTAGCATCACTGAAGTGAATAAAATCTTAATTATTGGGTTTACACTGTGTAAGTAACTGCTTTACTAAAACTATCCATTAAACTTGTATAATTTTATAAATGTATAATTTTATTTTAAACAATAATATAACTTATACAAATGGTCTTTACAAAATTAAAATATTCTTAACTGTTGCAAAGGAGTGTATAGATAAAAATGAACTGTTTATTTGTTTGGATACAATGAAAGCTGTCAGGCAATAACACTGAATAAAGGTGACCAGCAATATTGACTTGGAAGAAAATTTTTAAATGTTAAATATTACAAATTCAGGGTTTTTTTTCACTTATGGACATTGAAAAACATATATGAAAAAGATATGAAACAAAAATTTTTGTGACAATTTTAAAAGTTGTTTATATATTCTTTATAAGTACATTTAATTTTTGTCACCAATTATGCTTCTCATATTACATACTCCTTTATATTACATATGAAAATGCAACTTAATTGCATGTTCAAGATATCAAACCATTTATTTTTTTAAAGATGCATAGCTTAAAAATCATTTTGAAGATGCATTTATATTTTTGTATGTCTTTAATTTTATGAGACTTATTCATAAATAATTCAAAAATATTCATAAATATTTTTCCACAGGAAAGTTAATCTTTATCATTTCCCAATTGAGTTGTTACAAAATGAATATTAATCTAAAATTGGGAAAGTGATTGATGCATGGTTGATTTTGAATAAATTCATTGTTTCAGTTAGTAATATAATTGTTCAGATTATTAATACAATGATTATTTGAAATAAAAATAAATGGTATTTTAAAAAATTAAATAAATAGTTTTAAGGAAGAGCCTCAATATTTAAATGGTTCAAATTATTAACTAATTCTATACCTGATGAAGGAGCCCTGATGACACAATGGTTAAAGTGCTTGGATGCTCATTGAAAGGTCAATGGTTCAAACCTATCAGTTGCTCTGCAGGAGAAAAAACATGGCTATCTCCTCCTATAAAGATTAGAGCCTAGGAAACATTATGGGGAAGATTTGCTCTTTCCTATAAGGTCGCTATGAGAATCCTATACTAGAATCTACCCGATAGTACACAACAACAACAATACTCCTGATGGAAGAGTGTAAATAGATCATGAATTAGAAGTGAGACTGGAGAAGGAGGTGCTAGCTTTGAGAGCTGCACTGTAGGTCAAGTTGATAAATGTTTAGTAAATAGGGAGGATAGAGGAAGGGGAAGAATTTGAGGCAATAATAATAGTAATTGCCATTTACAGATAGTTGTGTAGTTTATAAGCTTTGTGACTATAAATGTGTTACTTAAGTAACTGATGGTGATGTCCTTAATTAATGTGAGGGACTTCAGGAGGCAGAGAAGATAAAAAGCACACAGGAGCAGGTAATGAGTACAAGTTTGAACTCAGACATGATTTATGTTGTCACTAGTGTGTAAAGGTATAGAAATACTATCGGCATTCAATTCCAGAGTAGCAAGTATTAAATACCTACCATGTTCAGGATACTCAGCTGGAACAGTGATCTAGGCTTTGTTGATAATGCACCCCATGTTTATAAACCTGCTTCTGCTATTATTTACATGACAGAACAGAACAACTAAATTAAAAGTAAAAAAGAAGTTCTGATTTTTTTGTTTGTTTTTTTTTCCATCTAAGATAGAGGGCACAGTGAGGAACAGAATGGCTTCATGTTTGTGAGGTGTGGCAGACATCTATCATCTCTCTGGAGGCCAGGAGAAGGAGACTCAGTGAGGGATAATGGGGTCCTTTCTTCATTCCCTCTTCTCTGTTTCAGGCCCCCCGTGAGCAGAGCTCCACCACAACCAGAGAAACTCCAGACAAACAATATAGGCAAGAAGAAGAGACCCATAGAGGTGAGCAAAGCCCTGCTTCCCAATGGTAACTCATACTTTAAAATGTATCCAGAATTTGTTTCCTTTTATAAAACACACAACTTTTATCAACAGTTATGAAAATAAACATATTGAATAATGTGTCTTTTTCGGTTGTAAAACATGATTGTTTCAGTGTTACTCGCGTTTACATTTTGGACTGTTAGCCTCTGTTCCCTTTCATTATTTATTTATTTGTTTTTCTATTTGTCTTCTTTTTCTCTGAATAATACTCTGAATTGACCTGCATCCCAAGACCTTCAAAACTTAAATATACACAAATGGTTTATTGCTTATAGAAGCACAGACATTTTGACTGTATCTTAGATTTAGTGGTTCAAATTTTTAAGTTAGAGATTGAATACTTATATACCACATTAGGAATATTTACCCCGTGTGATATATTTGCTGTAGAGTTCAAAGAGGGCTCTGCTTTTCTTTCTGTTTCCAACCAAAGAAACCTTCCACAATAATTGAGGAAGAAAGAAAGTTCTCTCAAACACTTCATGATTCCGGTATCAGCAGCAAACAAGCAAACTGTGCTGAATCAGATTGAAAACCAGGAGTAAAGCTGTGTGGGAGGGGGATTATGGTACCTTCTTCCCCCACCTAGCCCCACAAGGTCAATGGAAGTGGACACTTTGCAGTAGAATTATCAGCCATCAGAACTCTTGAATGAGTTGTCAGAGGGTGTGCTTGGTTTCTGTCCATTGGTAGTAAAAGTACTGTTTGGATGTTTAACAATACATCACTTGGAGCATAATTTCTCGTAAGTTATGTGTGCAGATAAGATATTTGCTTAACAATTAATACAAACAGATATATCCTTCTTTTGGACACAAGGAGTGTCACAATATTTACATGAAATCTTGAGAACTAAAATTTTTGGAATCAGATAACATTATGATTCCCTTTATCCTTTTTAACTTTATATAGATTGAAAATATCAATGATCAAGGCATTGTAGGGTGTTTCCTAAAAGTATGGACTGATTATTCCAGCTGCCCAGACTGGTTCTTTAGAGAAGTGTGTGTGTGTCATTTATCTTTGGGTCTCAAGTTTGTAAAATGGAAATACATTGTCTATTTTTACAAAAGACACTAGTACTGTGTATAAAACAAAATACCAGTGAAAGTTTAGACACAAGGAAGAATGTAATTGTATAATAGCTTATTGTTTTTGTTACAGGACCTAGTATTGGAGCTTGTTTTTGGCTATCGGGGCAAAGACTGTAGGAACAATGTTCACTATTTAAATGATGGTGATGATATAATTTATCACACGGCATCAGTTGGAATTCTGCACAATGTTGCTACAGGTAGGAAAACCTGATTCTCTACCCCCTACTTTTAAAATTTTTTATTTAGAGCCTTAAAATTATTTTTGGAAACAGTTATTAAAACTGTAAGTAATAACTGTAATATATTAGAAAAAATAGGCCAGAGTGTTAGTATTCCCTACTGCAGAACTTTCTAGTAATATTTCAAGTAACCAAATTCACAGTCTCTTTTAAGAGAGTATAACAGCAGAAAAGGATTTCATAAGGCAAAGTGCTCACAGGTCTCTAGAAGAAGTGAAGGTTTACTTTATGCTGAAACCATGTTTGTAGTGAAGCCATTGTAACTTTAACTCTATTTCCCCATAACTTCATCATGAAAACAAATAGCTGTCTCAGATAGTGACTGAAAGTAGCATACTGAATTAATGATTGTAAAGGGTAAGAGGCCATTCTTACTGAGAGTTGGCAAGCCGAAGAAGAAAGCTGGGGAAAAAAAAAAAAAAAAACTGCTTGTCTGTCACTCTGCTGATGGCACCTTGTTTGATCCAAGAAGGTGAACAAATATTTCTTGATGTGTATTTAACTGATACTCAGAAACCCACTGCCATTGAGTCGGATCCAGCTCACAGCAACCCTTCCTTGGGTTTCCAAGGTGGTTGCCCAGTCTTCCTTCTGAGGAGTGGCTGGTGGGTTTGAACCACCAGCCTTCTGGTTAGCAGTCAAATGCCTTAGGCACTATGCCACAAGAGCTCCCATTTAACTGATAGGATTGATGAAGAACAAATAAAGTTCTCTTAGCATTATTTAATGACCACAGTGTGATCATCCTACTAGTGACATTAAGTACTTAATTTTGAATTCTGCTTTATTACAAACAATTAGAAACATCATGGAGTCTAAAATTGGGGATAAACAGGGTTCATTTCTCCTGATTATTCCCCTGATAACTTCACTGTAAACAGGTACAGAATAGATGATGTGAGGCACACACTCTCCCACCTTGGCCAATATGAATCATTAGTATGATCTGTTTTAGTTACCTAAGGAAATGATTCACCAGAATCACACAGAAATCAGAACATTTTTCCATCAAAAATTTGGGCCATTTATCAAGTACTGCTTAGAGAGAAAATCCTCTATATTTGAGACTTCAAGTATCCTTGAAAGAGAAAGACAAGAAAAGATGAATGTGTAAATAAACATTCATGTTAATACTTGTAACTTTATTTTGAATTTCCTGATTTGTCATTAATCACCTTTCTAATAAGGGGCATAGAGAGGATATTTGGCACCTGCTGCACTTCTGATTTTCTGAGTCTTCCATGAGTTTGGGGACATATTGCCATGTTCATAATACAGGAATGATAGAAGTCTAAGGTAGTGCTGACTGGTTGATCTTCTGCCAATTTACCCAGCAGCACATATGTGCATATTTGCTCCTTTAACTGAACTTCCAGCCCTGGAAATTATAAAACACATATCACTTTGAAAGCTTTTAAAGTAATAGTTTTTTTAAATGTAGTTACTGAATTTTTTGTTTTGCTTTGGAGGGCCTAGTATTGGTCCTTCATACTCTGGACCCAGTGTTCTGACCTCATTTCCTGTATCTCAGTTTGACTGTCAGGCTGCCTCATATCTCGCTGTCATAGTCAGCTGAGGTCTCTTCACTGTCATTACTACTGGATTAATGCAGTTAATTCAGTGCCCCTCCACTGACTGCAGAATAAATAGAAGTATAGTAGACTGACATTCAGAATCCTCCATAATTCTATTTCCAACTTGCCCTTTCCAGCCACATTTCTCAGTTTTCTTCCCTATGACTCCTATACTTGGGTCAAAGTGAGCATGTGTATGTATACCTAATGCCTTCCTGCCTCTATGCCTTTGCTTCAGTTGTCACCCTACTTGGAATACCTTTTCCCACCTCCCTTTATCCACACTTACAATATATATCTGGGTCAGACCAGGAGTGCAATATGCCCATGATGACAGTAATTGTTTCCGCTCCAAATTCTCACAGCATTTTGATTCTTAACTCTCTTGTGGTACTTGGTATACTCAGCCTTGTATGACATGGTTTATCTCTTTAAGTGCTCTAACCCTTTAAAGACTTCTGATTCATTTTTCTGTCCTTAAGACAAAGGGTACATTGTAAGTGCTCAAAAAATTATGTATTAAATAAGCCAATATATTAAACAGTAGTTTGTTGTACCAAATAAGTTGCATTTGGCTATTACATATTAAAGTTTTCAAACTTAATTCTCAAATTCTTCTTTTTATAGGGACTCAGAGTTTTTATCAGGAACATAATGATGATATTCTGTGCCTCACTGTAAATCAGCACCCCAAATTTATCAACATAGTGGCAACTGGCCAAGTAGGTATGTTTCTGTATTTTAAAAAGAAACAATTTGGAAACATTTGTCTTGTTCAAATAAATTCAATATCCTAAGGGAAAAAAATAAAAGTATATTTGTAGCTGGTTTAAAATCTGTGTACAGAAAACACACTTTGAATAATGTATTATTTACTTCCAGAAACCTCTCTCTCACTTTGGTTGTCTGAATTACTTCAGATGACTCAGAATTTAAAATTAAAAACTACCTTTCAGTGGTTGAAATAGTTGGATTTAATCCTTTAGAAGAAATTTTGGGTCAGCAAAAATATTAAACTCCATAGCATATAAAGCAGAAGGAAATGATTTGAAAAGGCAGTGGGAAATAAGGGGAGACAAGAAGTAACCAGACTGAGAGGAGCAGAACCTCTGTTCCAGAGTGGTGTACAAGGTGTCCAGATAACAAAGGTAAATACTGTTATGTATACAGTACTGCACTCTCAGTAATAACAAACACTGATCTACAAGTGGTTACATAGAATACAGACAGGAAGATCAGGTATGGGTAGGCAGTGTACCCATGACCATACATAGGTTTGGCAGATGATTTTCCTGCATACATATTTGTATGTGCTGTAACAATGTCCATATACAGTATAGAGATAATGGGACAAAGGTAGGATAACTTCTTAGCCACAACCAAGCACCTTGAGGGAGTGAGTCACCAGGCCTGCAGGCTTAGGACCATGGTTGTGGGGGACATCAAGCTCAATTGTCACAACATAGTGCACAAAAACATCCTACTTTGGTGAGTAAAGACTGGGGTTTTGCAACCTTGCAAGCGGCCATCTAGATGCAACTATCCGGAGCAAAGAATGAAGAAAATCAAAGACATACGGAAACAATTAGTCCAAGGGGCCAATGGACCATAGAAACCTCAGCCTACATGACCCAGACACCAGAAATAGATGGTACCTGGCTACCAGTGCCAACCACTCAGAAAGGGATCAAAATCAAAGATCCTGGATAGAGTGGGAGAAAAAGTGAGGAACAAAATTCAAAAGCTGAAAAAAGACCAGGATTATTGGTCAGATAGAGACATGAAACCCTCAAGACTATGGCCCCAGGTCATCCTTCAGGGTAGAATTGGACTCACTTCTGTGGCTCAACTCTCAGCCAAACAATAGACAGGCCTATCAGCCTTTTGTTGTTCAACTACACCAGGGAGATGCACTTTTTAGACCGGTCAGCCAAGGGGGAGATCAGAAGGGCAGCATTTGCACATGGAGAAAGCTAGGCAGGCAGGAACACATAGGTAAGAAGAACACAGGGCTCCAACTCACAGCCACCCTGTTCACTGGGAGAAGGTGGAGGGAGAGCTCTTACATTGTGGAGGTTATAATGTTGTTGTTGTTGTTGTTAAGTGCC